ATGAAGAGTATTTGATTCTACCATACCTGGGTCTTGAGAAGAAGATTTTTTTTAAATTTTAGTCAATTCAACCCTTTTTGGCCCCACCCATCAGCCCATGGGGGTCAGTCAGGGCTGATATGTGCATACCATCAAACGGATATCCAATACTGATAATGCTAACAAAGTTTGAATTAATTCCAATGGAAATTAAACAAATGCTGGTCCAAAATGTGATTTCCCTATATAAACTATAGTAAAGTTTATCCCCTCTTCAGGGGATAAACTTTACTATAGTTACGTGAGACCCCAGGGTCACTAAATTCACAATTCACTTTGGTAAAGTACCTTAAGGTTACTCGACACATCGTCATCAACGGCCATTTTCATGACGTACTTCCGAAAAAAGTACAGCAGACTGAATATTTCCGAGCGAAATGTGCCCATACACCGTTAAAAGTAACTCTCAAGTTTTGAAAAAAACAAAAACAAACTCAATCACTTGAACGCTTTACATTAATGTCGTTTTCGCAAATGTTTTCGAAGGATCGAAGAAACACTGATTGTGTTACGTTGCTGACGTTGACAAATAGGTCTAGAAATGGACAGAGATGTCCACAGCAAATTCACTTCAAGAAACAATGTCAGTGAACTGGACAATAACTATGCATGTGCACCATGACCATGCATACAGTAAATGTAAGTTTGTTTAGCATGCCAGTTATCGAGACAATAACCAAAATAACGGTCCATTTCATATTTTAAACATTGCTATGTTTCCGTTCATGCACATCAAGCACAGGGTCACGTTACAATCGCACATATGCTATACTGATATGGGTCACGACGATGTTTATGTGTGATTGTAACGTGACCCTGTGCATCAAGCAATCAAAATCTGGAAAGTTAAACCTTTTGTGCTTTTGTTTATATAGAAATGATCGGTATATAGTTGTGCTATCTTGATATCACTGGGAAAATATTATGAAGCAGTCGAAAATTATATTGACGCCAACAATGTGAATTACAAATACAATACAATCGCTGGAGAATTATATCATGTTAGATATTTTATAATGCATTTGTTCCATGTTTATTGTTTAATGTTCAATACTACATGGAGTTGATAAACCCAGTATTTATTTAATAAGATAAGAATATATTACAGTGCCAATATCACCTATTCTACACATTTGAATGCAAATAAAAATTATACAAATTAATGTATATGTCAGGTGTACTGTTGCTTATATCATCAATGCATATTGTTTGTCTATTTTGAAACATTATAGTTATTTGTTATAAATCATTGTTTATTTCATTTGATAAAAAACCCTTATGTATTGGAAAGTGCACTGGCTAAAAATGCCCTATGTAAAAAATTCCTGTTTAATCAAGAAAGATAACTCTCAAAAGGAAATTTCAATGTCTTAATTTTTCAATTTTGAAAATATCTAATTAATTATTCATTTATCAATCAATTTAACAGTGTTCATTAATAGTATGATATTTCTAGAATATTTTACAGACAAAAAATATACATATTTAACTGTCAGTTTAGGAGATATTCCAGTTTTTTGAAGTTTTTTTGTTATTTTGTTGAAAATAGAAATAGTTCCAAAATACAATTTTGAAACATATTTTACTTGTGCTTATTTGTTACGTGAACATCCATAATTATGCAGCCTCAAAAAAATTGAGAACAATTTATTTTAAAAAATTGGCATTTTCCATGGTTTTTGGAAAAAAATGATGAGCTTGCCGGCTTTACTAAGGTCTAGGAAGTTATTGGGTAATCATAGAAAACACAATTGTTAGATTTCAATGGTTTTTATCCATTTGTTTGTGGTGTGTTGAGCCACCTTAAGACCCTTCCATCTATTAAGAGTATTTCTGTATACTATATCTGGGTCTTGAGAAGAAGATTGTTGAAATTTCAGTCATTTCGACCCTTTTTGACCCCATCCATCAGCCCCGGGGGTCAGTCAGGGCTAATATGTGTATACCATCAAACTGCTATCCAATACTGATAATGCTAACCAAGTTTGAATTTATTTTAATGGAAATTAAACAAGACGCCCAGAGGGCCTGTATTGCTCACCTGTTGCTTTTGTTACATGCAACTGACATATAGGTAACTTAAGACCAAAATTGGTAACTAGAACACAAGACATATTAACATCTTTTAAACGGTTCTGAAAATATTGTTGTTTGAAACTTGAAATTTTAATTTTAAAGCTTTTAACCCATATTGACCTTTGAATCCCGACTTGCACTTAAAGTTGACCTTTGTATACCCAAGTATCATGACTCTAGTCCAAATGGTTCTAAGGATATTGTTGTTTGAAGTTTTTAACATATTTGACTGCTGTGACCTTGAAAGTAGGTCAAGGTCATTTTAATAAGGAAACTTTATAGCACTACATCCCAGGTACCTACTGGCCAAATATCATGACTCTGAGCCTAATGGAACTTAAGAAGATTGTTAAAGTCTTTGACCCATGTTGACCTTTGACCCCCATTTGCACTTAAAGTTGACCTTTGACCTCATTACCGAAATGAGAAAAAAGATTTGCACTCCTGGTCTACATAGCATACCCAAGAATCCTGACTCTAGTCCAAATGGTTCTTGGGATATTGTTGTTTGAAGCTTTAACATATTTGACCCCTGTGACCTTGAAAGTAGGTCAAGGTCATTTTAAAGATGAATTTTATAGCACTACATCCCAGATACCTACTGGCCAAATATCATGACCCTGGGCCTTATGGAACTTGAGAAGAAGATTTTTAAAGCTTTAAACCAAAGTTGACATTTGACCCCTGACTAGCATTTTAAGTTGACCTTTGACCTCATTACTGTAATTGAGAAAAATATTCGTACTGCTGGTTTACATAACATACCCAAGCATCATGACTCTAGTTCAAATGGTTCTCTATCCCAAGTACCTACTGGCCAAATATCATGACCCTAGGTCCTACAGTTCTTCAGAACAAGTCGTTCAAAAGAACAAGTTGACGGTCGGACGGACGGACGATAGACAGACGACGGACGATGGCCAGGTGAGCTAACAAATGCTGGTCCAAAATGTGATTTCCCTATATAAACTATAGTAAAGTTTACCCCCTCCCGAGGGGCAAACGTGAGACCACAGGGTCATGAAATACACAATTTTGGTAAGGCACCTTAAGACCCTTCCATCTATGAAGAGTATTTGATTCTACCCTATCTGGGTCTTGAGAACAAGATTTTTGAAATTTTAGTCAATTTGACCCTTTTTGACCCCACCCATCAGCCCCTGAGATAGCAGTGTACAGTAGAAATGGCCCGACTCTGAAAAACACATGTCGAGGAAATGTAAACACAGCAGATTTACCCTACACAACACATAAATACATGTATATATATTTGTAAACTGCATTAAATTTACAATACATATAAAGTACTGAGAAGTGTATAAACCTCCTTTTTCTATGTATGTCACTTGTGTGAAAACCATGGTTACCACATCAAATATTACCAAAAAATGCCAAAAAATGCTTTTTTTGACCCAATATTTGACCCCCGCTACTAGTATTTATTTTCCTAAGTTCTGTCTGAAGTGTAAATTTATTAGTAAATTGTATTTTGGTGTACGCAACTTTAGCCTTTGCCAAGGCAGTTAGAGTTAGCTCCCTTAGCTCCCCATGCTAGTTACGGTCTTTTAACTTTATTGTTTGAAAAGAAATAATTATTGTTTATGTTAATTGTGGTTGGGATAACCAAGTGAATAAATTTCTGCCCTGTTGACATTTGTATTTGTTGATGTTTTCCACAAACTTTAGCTAGTGGAGGTTGAACCAAAATTAAAGATTACCTACTTGGTTGCAGAATTATCTGGGTCCCAGTAAAGTTGTCAAACTTGATTTTTTTTGCAATTTTGCTTCGTTTGCTGCTGTCAAAATTTTACCTCCTGTAAAGCTAGCTTTTCATGTATACACCCTGGCACCCTTTTTTTTTGTCCCTAAGCATGCTTCAGACTGCATTTGGTTTAAATCCCTTNACTTCCCCTATTGGGCCCCGCCCCTCTGCCCCCAGAGCAGCCACACCATCTGTTTATACTAACTTGAGGCNTTCCACTACTTCCCCTATTAGGCCCCGCCCCTCTGCCCCCAGAGCAGCCACACCATCTGTTTATACTAACTTGAGGCCCCTTTGTCCAAAGATGCTCTAGAACAAATTTGGTCAAAATCCTTCTATTGGTTGAGAAGAAGAAGATTTTTAAAGATTTACCTATTTTCCCCCTATTTGGCCCCATCCCTCTGCCCCGTGGGAGCCATAACCTCTGTTTATACAAAACTGAGAACACTTTGGCCAATGATGCTCCAGACCAAATTTGGTCAAAATCCTTTCATTGGTACAGAAGGAGAAGGATCTTTAATGTTTGTGTACAGATTTATCATCTACATGACTCCACCCATACAGGTTTTATCTCACTGACAGAGGTCGGTGTTCTGTTGGCGTAAACCGGTTTGATGGGTAATATGGTTTTTATACCAAGGGAGACCTATACTCGTTACCAAGCAAGTGCATTCTAAAATGTCGGCGCTTCCTTAGATACGACAGCCGGAAGAGATTTAAGGTCACTGGGGAAGATTTCAAAACCAGAATTTGTTTTATTTTAATCTCAGTTGAAAGCTGTTTAACTTGCACTGTCAGCTTTAATGTTGCATATATGTTTCCTTTGTCAAGCATCTAATGCCAAAAATGTACCCCTTATTGTCTCTATTCAAGGGACAAGGCCTTTTCTTTGGCAAATCTGAATCAATGCATTTAAGATTGAGGAAAAGAAATGTGAAAGGTTTAAATTGTACAAGGATTATGGTTGCTTTCTAGTAAGCTTTGCATTGGAGGAAACTTCCCTTTAGCTAAATCAGTCCCGTGATTAACCAGGATAACTGGGGGTTACTGGCTCAATAGATCCTACAATGGCAGACAACATGTTGTCAGCGGTAATATAGAAGCAATTAATAAGACAACATACCTCCAAAATAGAGTCCTCGCTTACTGAGTTCACGGTCGTAGAATTGCATCTGGTAATGGAACATGCGTACATTTTTGTTGTATGAGTTATCTCCCTTAGACTTTGGTATATCATAAAAAAGGGAGGTTACCTGAAACAATATAAAAAGTCAATGCTACTTTTAAAATAATTTATTCTTGCATGCAACTGCCTTAGAATATTAAGAATTTTGATGATGTTCACAAATTTGACCTCTTTGACCTTGGAAGTGACTTCAAGGCCATTTATTTGAACAAAAGTGTTAGTTTTTCAACACAGTATGCAACTAGCAACATACTATCAACCAATGCCTCTTGAGCATTTTAAAGAAGTTGTTAAAATGTTGTTGTTTTTTTACATTTTTGACCCTGTGACCGTGGAAGTGGGTCAAGGGCATGTATTTGATCAAACTTGATATAATTTCACTCCAGCATGAGAATGGCAATATATATTCACCCTAGATTGGTGGTTAAGCAAGTAGATTAAAGCCTTTAACCAATTTGACTCCTGTATCCTTGAAAAAGGGCCAAGGTCACTTTTTTAAACAAACTTGATAGGCTGTCATTACAACATTTTACTGACCACATGTCATTACCCAAAATCTGGTTATTCAAAAGAAGTTGGTTAAATGTTTTAATACATATGACCTGTGACGTAAAAAGTGATTTATGATCAATTTTTCAATCACAGTTGGTAGACAACATTCATACTGTTTGCCAAATGTCTTCATCCTCAGACTATTGTTTAGAGAAAAGAATTCAGGCCATGGGAGCTTTAAATGTAAAAAGGTTGGCGGACAAAAAGTTGAAAAACAACAAGTGGCCCACTGGGCCTGCATTTACCACCTGGTAAACCTTAAAGTGGACTAAAAGAAAGCAACAGGCAAACTATCAGTGTCTCGACTCAAAGTCATTGAAAAGAACCTGTTAAAAGATTTAAACATAGTTTACCCGCTGCGACCTTGAAAGTCAAACAAGAACATTAAGTTAATCAATCTTCATAGCTCTTCATCTCGGAATGCAACCCGCCAAATATCACCATCCTAGACCTTATTCGTTTATTGGCAAGATTTATACACAATTGACTAGTCAAATATTATCACCCTGGACCTTTTGCTTATTCAGAAGAAATCATTTAAAAGATTCCAACATATTTGACCTCCGTGACCTTGAATGTTGGTGATGGTCATTCATTTGAACAAACTTGGTAGCCTTTTGGTTATTCAGAAGAAGTCGTTTAGGTAGCAGAGTAAGTGGAAATGGCTTGACCCTAAAAATAAAGGGCATGTCTCGGATAAACATGGACAGCGGATTCATCCTGCACAACACACCTACATATATATGTATATCTATAAACTACATTTTGAATAGTCTTTTTTTAGAAGAATGATTTTTTTTTTCAAAAAGTGATTTCCCCAGATTTGGGACTTGTGAAAACCATGGTTACCACATCAATAAATGCCATGATTTTTAACCCAAAATTTGACCAACGCAGGTAGTGTTTTTTTCTTAAAACCTGTCTTAAATTAAATATCACCTACTCAGTAACAGAAATACTCACGTTTTAGCATAGGTTGTTCAACTGGATTTTTCACAATATTTACACATGTGCTGAGTACAAAAATAGACTACATGAAAAGCTAGCTTGTGTTGTGTAGAAACAGATTGATAAATGGCCAAAAATGTAGTCGCAAGCCAAATTCCATTTTTTTTTTTTAAATGTGAAGCCCACATAGTCCAATTCATCATGTGTATGCCAATTTTAGAGCTGATTTTTTTTTTAAAGTTTTGATACATGTAATATTACAGGGTAATACACTGCTGTACACTGCTACCTTAAAGTTTTTTTTAGATATTTGACTCCTGTAACCTTGAATATAAGTGAAGGTTATTCATTTTAAACTTGGTAGCCCTTTTTTCCACCATGCTAGTAGGCCAAATATCATCACTTTGGGCATTTTGGTTATCTAGAAGATGTTGTATAAATTTAAATGTTTAAAAGTCAATTGACCCTATGACCTTGAATATACGTGAAGGTCATTCATTTGAACAAACTTGGTATTCCTTCATCCTAGCATGCTACAGGCCAAATATCAGTACCCTGGGCCTTTTGGTTATTGAGAAGATGTTGTTTGAAGATTTTAACACATTTGACCCCTGTGACCTTGAAAGTGGGTCAAGGTCCTTCATTTGAACAAACTTGGTAGCCCTTCATCCCAGCATGTTTCTGGCCAAATATCATCATCATAGGCCTATTGGTTATTGAGATTGAGAAGTTGTTTAAAGGTTTTAAACACATTTGACCCCTGTGACATTAAAAAAGGGTCAATGTCATTCATTTGAACAAACTTGGTAGCCCTTTATCCATGCATAACTACAGGCCCAATATCAGTAGCCTGGGCCTTTTGGTTACTGAGAAGAAGTTGTTTGAAGATTTAAACACATTTGACCCCTGTGACCTTGAAAGTGGGTCAAGGTAATTCATTTGAACAAACTTGGTAGCCCTTTATCCCAGCAAATTACTGACCAAATATCATTATCCTCGGCCTCTTAGTTATTCAGAAGAAGTTGTTTAAAGATTGTTTAAGACAATTGACCCCTGTGACCTTGAAAATGGATGAAGGTCATTCATTTGAACAAAATTGGTAGCCCTTCATCCCAGCATGCTACTGGCCAAATATCATCACCCTGGGCATTTCGGTTATTCAGAAGAAGTCGTTTAAAGTAAAATATTGACGACGGATGCTGCACCACGGCATAAGCTCACTTGGCCCTTCGGGCCAGGTGAGCTATTTTTTTTTTGATATATATATCTATGGAATGCAGGACTTTCTTGGTGTTCTATAAGAGAAATCAAATCAATCTATGGTGATTTTGTGATTTGATTTTCTTTCCTAGGATCTACTGACAAAAAAGGATCAAAAAGATGATGCAGCTTTAATTTGATAAAATACTAGGCAACCCTTTCTTATAGAAAATTACAAACCTTTCCAAATTGTTCTGATAACATCTTGTCCTTAGCCTTGAGAACGGGGTTTGTGGGAATAAGTTGAGGCTCTGGATACACCTCGTCCAAATATTCATTACACACACTGGACTCATAAATCACAGTGCCATCCTTCTCCAATACGGGAACCAGAGCGTTGATGTAGCGATCTCGGAACCAGTCTGGCTTGGACTTCAAATTGATGTTGACAGTTTCATATCTGTTAATCAAAATCAAATTATTGATACAGCCAGTGGTGGTAAGGTTGTGTGTCTAGCACATCAGTATCTACTAACATTAATAGTGGTCTATAAGTCTCCTAAGTCCAATTTTTAAACAAAATTTAAGGAGAATTCAAGCATCTGTGTTATACCATATAAATGTGCTAAAATAAAGCAAACTTAAAACGAACACATGGAATATTAAATCTAGAGTGCAAGATTGTGGGACAAGGCAATAGGTTACAGTAATATCACTCACTTAGATGCACAAGATTGCCTACCAGCTGTGTATATTTAAAGAACTCATGATAGTAAATTTTGAAAACAAATTAACAAATTCAAGGGTCTGAATTTAAAGAATACCTTATTCCAGGTAAGTGCTACTGGCATTATGCTATAAAAAAACATGAATACATACACAAAACTATGTATCTATCACAGATCCTGACAGGGTACCAATGTTTATGTAGGTTTGTCTGGTGATCATCATCATATCTGAATAATCAATTATTCATACAGCTTAAGGTCTACTTGTGTTTCAATAAGAGACCATTATATGAAGCAGATACATTTTTTGGTACTCTCAATTATCACATTTATCATCGAGAAAATTCTTTAATCTTAAGCCATATATATAGAACATATCAACTCAAATTGTTTTAAAAAAGGAACTTTTGATATTATCAGTTGTATAATGTCTGATTTATAGCACACAAATTATTAAACGATATGAAATGGATGTCAGGTTTAAAACAGACATTCAATACATGTTGATGTCAGGTTTATATCACACACATTTTATATAGGTTAATGTCAGGTTAATAACACACACATTTTATATAGGTTGATGTCAGGTTTATAATGCACACATATATACAGGTGGATGTCAGGTTTATAACACACACATTTTATATAGGTTGATGTCAGGTTTATAACACACACATTTTATACAGGTGGATGTCAGGTTTATAACACACACATTTGATACAGGTGGAAGTCAGGTTTATAACACACACATTTTATATAGGTGGATGTCAGGTTTATAACACACACATATTATATAGGTTGATGTCAGGTTTATAACACACACATTTTATAAAGGGGATGTCAGGTATATAACACAAACATTTCATATAAGTGGATGTCAGGTTAATAAGACAAACATTTTATACAGGTTGATGTAAGGTTAATAACACACACACACATATTATATAGGTGGATGTCAGGTTTTATAACACAAACATTTTATATAAGTGGATGTCAGGTTTATAACCAACACATTTTATACAGGTTGATATCAGGTTTATAACACACACATTTAATATAGGTGGATGTCAGGTTTATAACACACACATATTATATAGGTTGATGTCAGGTTTATAACACACACATCTTATACATGTGGATGTCAGGTTTATAACACACACATTTTATACAGGTTAACGTTGATGTCAGGTTTATAACACAACCATAGTATATATGCCGATGTCAGGTTTATAACACACACATTTGATACAGGTGGATGTCAGGTTCATAACACATATTATATAGGTGGATGTCAGGTTCATAACACATATTTTATATAGGTGGATGTCAGGTTTATAACACACACATTTGATACATGTTGATGTCAAGTTTATAACACACACATATTATACAGGTAAATGTCAGGTGTAGAACACACACATTTTATAAAGGTTGATGTCAAGTTTATAACACACATCTTATAAAGGTGGATGTCAGGTTTATAACGCACACATTTGATACAGGTGGATGTCAGGTTTATAACACACACATATTATACAGGTGGATGTAAGGTTTATAACACACACGTTTTATACAGGTGGATGTCATGTTTATAACACACACATATTATACAGGTGGATGTAAGGTTAATAACACACACGTTTTATACAGGTTAACGTTGATGTCAGGTTTATAACACACACATTTTATATAGGTGGATGTCAGGTTTATAACACACACATTTGATACCGGTGGATGTCAGGTTTATAACACACACATTTTATAAAGGTTGATGTCAGGTTTATAACACACGTTTTATAAAGGTGGATGTCAGGTTGATAACACACACATATTATATAGGTGGATGTCAGGTTTATAATGCACACATTTGATACAGGTGGATGTCAGGTTTATAACACACACATTTTATAAAGGTTGATGTCAGGTTTATAACACACGTTTTATAAAGGTGGATGTCAGGTTTATAATACAAACATTTTATACAGGTTAACGTTGATGTCAGGTTTATAACACACACATAGTATATACAGGTGGATGTAAGGTTTATAACACACACGTTTTATAAAGGTGGATGTCAGGTTTAGAACACACACATTTTATACAGGTTAACGTTGATGTCAAGTTTATAACACACACATTTTATACAGGTGGATGTCGGGTTTATAACACACACATTTGATACAGGTGGATGTCAGGTTTATAACACACACATTTTATATAGGTGGATGTCAGGTTTATCACGCACACATTTGATACAGGTGGAGGTCAGGTTTATAACACACATTACACATATTATATAGGTTCACATCAGATTTATAACACACACATTTTATACAGGTGGATGTCAGGTTTATAACACACACATTTGATACAGGTGGATGTCAGGTTTATAACACTCACATTTTATTTAGGTGGATGTCAGGTTTATCACGCACACATTTGATACAGGTGGATGTCAGGATTATAACACACACATTTTATACAGGTGGATGTCAGGTTTATAACACACACATATTATATAGGTTGATGTCAGGTTTATAACACACACATATTATATAGGTGGATGTCATGTTTTATAACACAAACATTTTATATAGTCGGATGTCAGGTTTATAACACACATATTTTATAAAGGTTCACATCAGATTTATAACACACACATTATATATAGGTGGATGTCAGGTTTATAACACACACATTTTATATAGGTGGATGTCAGATTTATAACACACATATTTGATATAGGTGGAGGTCAGGTTTATATAAACACACATATTTTATATAGGTGGATGTCAGGTTTATAATGCACACATTTTATACAGGTTGATGTCAGGTTAATAACACACACATATTAAACAGATGGATGTCAGGTTTATAACACACACATTTGATATAAGTTAGAACCTTTCAGAGACAAGAAACTTACGGAATATTCTTGTATTCAAGCACAAGCCTGGTACGTTGGGCATAAGGACAGAACTTCATACTGTACAATCGAAGGCGACCCGCAGTCAAAGGTGGACATGTAGACTCTGAAATGGCTACATAAATTCAGTAAAAAGGAACAGGAATTACTTCAATTTCAGATGAATTCATATTCTTGTTGCAGCAGTATTCAACTGATCAATTAATTGGTTAATTTTGCATTATTTTATCATACAGTGTCAAATATCCTGAGAGTGTCAATTGTCAAGGTAGTGTCAAGTATCCAAATACTGTTAAGTATCCAGACTGTGTCAACTTTCACCACAGTGTCAGGTGTACATGCAGAGAGCGTCAAGTTTCTAGAATCCAGGCAGTGTCAAATATCCAGACAATGTCAATTGTTCAGATTGTGTCAAGTATCCCGATGGTGCAAAATATTAAGACAGTACTAGTGTTATTAGTAGAGTCCAGATAATGTCCAGTATCCAGACAGAGTCAACTTTCCACACAATGTCAAATATCCAGACAGTGTCAAGTCTCAAGACTGTCAAGACGTATCAAGACAGTATCTGAAGGATCTAGACAGTGTCAAGTGTACATGTCCTGCCAGAGTCAAGTATCTAAATAGTGTAAACTTTTCATAGAGTGTCAATTGTTCAGACAGTATCATCTTTCCACACAGTGTAAGGTGTACAGACATGCAGTGTCAAGTGTCCAGATTTTCAGGCAATGCCAAATATCCAGTAATGTCTAATATTCAGACAGTGTTGAGTGTCTAGACAGTGTCAACTATGATAACTGTCAAAGGTCTACCTTTCAAATTGTGTAAAGTATCCAGACAGCATCAAAATTCAACACAGTGTCAGTTTCCTGACAGTGTCAAGTTTCTTAACAAGACAGTTTCAAGACAGTGTAAAGTTTCTATACAGTGTCAGTTTCAAGAAAGTATCAAGTTTTTATACAGTATCAAGTTTGTATACCCGGTCAAGTTTCTCATATACCATGTTACTTTCCTGACAGTATCAAATTACTATATTGTGGCTTTTTCCAGACAGTGTCAAGTTACTGTATGTGTTACTTTCCAGACAGTGTCAAGTTTCTGTATGAGTCACTTTCCAGACAGTGTCAAGTTTCTGTATGAGTCACTTTCCAGACAGTGTCAAGTTTCTATACTGTGTCACTTTCCAGACAGTGTCAAGTTACTGTATGTGTTACTTTCCAGACAGTGTCAAGTTTCTGTATGAGTCACTTTCCAGACAGTGTCAAGTTTCT